CACCATCATCACCATCACCACCATCATCACCATCACCACCACCACCATCATCATCATCGCTCTGCTTGGATGTAAAAAACCCAAAACAAGCTTCTTCCTCCAAGATCTTCTTCAAACACTTTTACGCGGAGTTCCTGCGCTCATGGAGCGGCCACCTCGCGCCTCCTCTCCGGATGGGATGCGTCAGCTGTGATGCTGATGGTGTGACATAAAAGAAACTCAAAAAACAGCACAAAAACTAATCCGCAGTTTTTCCAACGCAGGAGTTTCACATGTGAGTACATTCTTTATTACTGCGTAAAGGCTTCTGGGGATGTGAACTCTGACCTCTTGATGATGGTGGGTCCGTACCGGGTACCTTAGTGGTTGTGAATGAACCAAAGCTGGACTGTGTAGTTAAATGTCTAAAGAAAACAGAGTTTGTGGGTCTGATCAGAGGATCTAAGACCATGATCAGGTTCATGATGTATATTCTGGGGTCCAAGTTGTGCTTTAAGAGTTGGGAATAAAACATTAAAAGCAATCCTACATTTCATAGAAAACCAAAGTCTACTATCATCATTAGAACCCTGAAGAACATGCTGTCAAAACAAGAAGCTGCTTCTTCCAGTTTGTACCTGAACACAACATTCAGAAGTATATACACATGAGATCTGATCCAGTTAATATTTCACTTCCTCGAAGGCTCCGCGTGTCCCATTGGTTGGTCTGTTTATGTGACGACACCCTGCGATGAAGGAACAAGTCTATTTTTAGAAACTGGAGGCTAAAGGTATTAAAGTCCAGCAGAGAGGAGAGTCCACACAGACGGTCCTCCACATGGAGCTACTCACACTGAGGAAAGGAGCTTTTTAAAATGCTGATCCATGTTTGGAGGAAAAGGAAACCAGGTAAAGACTTCTCCTCTGCTGGAATAAAGACTTAAATAACGTGCTTCCTGTCTAAAGTAGCGCCTCACTGTGTGCACGCTGTAATAGTCTTAGTACATTAGGACAGTAAAGCATCCGCATGTTCTAACGGTCGGTATGAGTGGAAAGTATTTGTAGATTGCGGCGTGTGCTTCCAGTACCAGGTTGTTTTGCTGACACACCTTTTCTCTGCTGCTTCAAGTGACTCAACATGAGGCTCTGTGAGGAGTCTGCAGCCTGCAGCTGCTCCAGGATCAGCCAGCGCCTCCAGCACCGGCCTGCAGAGTGAGACACACGATACAGACATTTAAACGGTATACATATACACATATACTGTGTATATGTATGTGTGTGTATATATATGTGTGTGTATGTGTGTGTATATGTGTATATGTATATACATATACAGTATGTGTGTATATG